CCGTTTAAGGATTTTGAAAGTAGGTGTTGTTCAACTGTTCTGACAAATTGAAAAAGTTTTTAAGTGTTACTTGTTTGGCTTCATAACTTTTACATTTTTAAAATAAAAAAGTGTACCCAGACTTTTCATTTTTGACACTTTTGGTTTGGTTAACCAATGTTTACATTATAGCTTAAGCTATATCCATACCAGTGATGTCATACTATACTACACTGACTTATCATTTTGGCAAGTGTCAGTTTTTCCAAGTTATTTCCCTTTTGAGACTGGTTAGTTTTGGAAAGTTGGATGTATCTATACCAATGGCTTAATATATATATATTTCTCACTTACCAGATAGAAAAATCCGTAAATGTTACTAAAAATAGCGGTGTTGGAAAATCTTATCTCACATGGGCTTATCTCGCACTCAACATGCAGCACTTCTAAAAACGTATTCACTCCTATTTTAAAGGGACTCCACTGAGGTTTCAAAGCCTAAAAACATAACATTTGAATTTCTTACATAAATGAGCTGGGACACTTTAAACAGAAATATATGCAAAGATAGTTAAAAAATATAGTTTGAAATGAATTGAAAAACGTATCTTTATGCTTTTCTTAGCCCGATTTGAGTGAAAAGCGTTTAAACGCTTTTCATTTTGGGTCATTTTTTACGATTTGAATAATTCGTTTTTGAAAAAACGAATTGCGCGAATTATCTGAAATTTTGCACATAGATTATTAGGTCTAAACCTTCATCAAATGGTACATTTAACTGGAAAAATTATTTTCAGTCCCATCATGTCAAAAAACCTCGAAAAAACGTCAAAAGGTCAAAATGTATTAAAAATATGTGAGCTAATCTATTAAATTTTCCACGGAATCAAAATAGATTGATATTAACTTTCACATTGCAATGAGTCCTACTTTACCTAGGTCTGCCCTCATATCCCAATATTGGTCTGCCCAATATCGGTGTGTTACTAAAAATAGCACACTTTAAAATATCACAAAATTCTTCGTAAAATCTGATATTATGACACTTTGCCTGAAAAACATCCATATTTTCTGTTATGATAAAGATGCTTCTTGATGACGAATCTCATTTTGATATATTTTAATTGAATATTCTGCCAAAATAACTAAATAAGTAGAAAAATCTTTGCAAACGGTAAATGCTTTTTGCCAACCATTAAAGTATGGACTGAATTCCTTTAAACACTTATATTATGACACTTTCCGACTTTAATATAGATGTGTTTTATCAAGTCGCATGCCTTTGCAGCATTTATTTTCTTACTGATTTATCTCCCCTTAAGGCACTCTTTTTTTATCAATGTGTTGTTAAGTTGAAAATTTGTCAACTAATAACATGCCTTTCCATACTTTTTTTTAGTTACAAAACTGTGTCAACAATACTTCTCATGCAAAACAAGGTGATGGTGTCTTGTTTTTGGGTTGGGTTTTACATGGCACTACCACAGTAAAGGTCATATTGGTCATATTGCAAGTTTACAGCTTAACTGGTTAAGGAAGATCTCAGATGCTCCTATGTGCATTATTTCAGGCACAACAGGGCATAGAACCACCAACATTCTGTAAGCTAGCTGGATAGCTTCCCCACATGAAAGAATCCAAAATCCCTGATGAGATTCAAACATACAGTGGTGAAGGGGAAGGGTGAATGGGTAAAAATTTTGGCATTTGGTTCTTAGGAATCAGTGCTGGTGAGATGCGAGTCATTTTACATATATATTCATCAATGTTAAAAGTTAATAAACATTTTAATCTTACTGCTATATCACTGTTACATCAGTTTATTCAATCATTCAAACATATTAGTTTGTGAAACTTGATTTAAAAAACCTCAACTTGCATATACATGTATTTGATGCCCACTAAAATGAGCTAGTATTTGCTCTTGAAATGCATTATATGAATAACCTGAATTTTACTGCCAATAGACATGAAACTTTTTACTGAATTCTGCATTGTATGCAGATAATTTGGGTTGTTTTTCAGAGATAATTCAGGTGAACTTGAAGACATTTAGATGTAAGTGACATCTGTTTGTAATAGAGTTGTCTGTTCTTAAAGACATGATTGGTTCAAAGATTCACCACCAACATATGTGTAATTGTCCTGCAGTAATCCATTAATTAATGACACATATAGGGTTTGAGCCTTGGATGTCAGCATATTACATGACAAAGGCAATGTAAGAATAATCCTTATTATTAATTATGACCAAAGTGATTCAGCCAGGGTAGTTTAAAATAAGATCAGTTTGGAAATATTTAAAAACCAGTGAACACAAACAAGCTTGTCATTCATGATTTCCTTGTACATTTGTTCATGTACTGGGAAATTATAAAATTCTTATCACTGACTTAAAAAACTTATTGATAAATTATCAAATTGAAATGGAATTTTGGTCACACACATATGAAGTTAAATTTTCACTATAGTCATTCTTGGTAAATATTGGGTCTCTGGATATTATTCATACTGTATGTTTTATAGATAGCACAATCATGTTTTATATTAATAACAGATATGCTCAAACCATTTTTACTGGGAGTCTAGATATTCCATGTGTAGAAGTTGACCATAACCTGTGGAATGGTTTATTTTACTACTAATAGGTTGTCAACATCTGAAGTCGTGTCACAAGCTTTTTCATTAATAAGGCATACCAAATAAACACATGAAGGCATACTCTAACACAAAAGTTTGTGAAATATTCTGTTTTAGATTAGATTGGTTTTCACTATATGCATATGGTTATTTCAAATTTAAGATATGACTTTCATTATAAGATGGTCATAAAGATTTAATAAAAGAACAAAACCTGTTACCCATTATATTGTTATGTAAATTGCCATTTTCAAAAATAGCAATAGACATATTGTTTTGTTGCTGAAAAGACCGAAACCTTTCATGTTTTGTGCCAGTTTCAAGCATTCAGAATGTCCTCAGGGCCTTATAAGTCATCTTGGGGCAGACAAAGTTCTGAGATAAGTTTTGACAAATCTTATTATATTTTATCATTTTCAGCTCTTATGGTAACAGTAACACAGCACAAATAGGTTATTGTCTTTATATCTCCCCAATCTTGCATTATTTGTCTATCCAAATATCATTCCATGCCATAAAGTACCAATGAAAATATGGCACTCATGGTACTAACTTCGTGCCATCTTGCTGTGTCAATTACAACTGTATTTTTCATGTGATTATTGTGACACCTTCACGATTACACGAGGGTCGCATACGAGTCTTGTATTAATAAGCATGCATTAGAATAAACCTCCAAAAGAGACCAGCTCTCCTAGGAGACACATAATTGCTATCTTTGAAAAACACGATCTGAGAAAAACAATTAAGTGTACGAAAATAGGGAGACAGAGAGTCTCCCTTCTACGAGTCATTTCATAAATATAATTTGAGGTTATGACAGCAATATTTCCAATGTCTTCAAAATTGCAGTGTTCTGTCATGAAGTCCATATCATAGGAACTAATTTCAGCTTAAATACCAATCAAACATTTTCATTGGCTGGCATATAAGTTCATTGTTTTACCAATTTATTAGATGACTTTGCACACTTGTTGAGACATGTAGAAAAAGGTTCTGAGTAAAGGACAAGAGCCACCCCCCCCCCCCCCCTTATGTTAATTTCATGGAAGGGCTATTGTCCTTCTTTCAAATATCTTGTGAAGGCTTTTGTCAATTTTTCCAAAGTTCTTATTATTTTAGCAGCATATATATTACTAAAGAAATGAGATTGAATGTTCATGATAAAAAAAAAATCTGTTAATGTCCATCAGATTTGATCAAAATCTTAGTCTTATTAATCAAACATTTTCTTATGAATATTTTTTACACAGAACCTTAAAAAAATGCTTATCAGCTGGTGGATCAAGCAACTAATTTTGTCAAAGATGTTTGTGAATGTCATTAATGTGATAAGAAAAGTGGACATAAGATTGACCCCTGGGGAGTGGACATATGGAGGTAGTTTATCAGCCTGTATGGATCACATGTCTCTACTGATATCACTGGACAAAGACATTGGTAGGTCTGCAAGAGCTCAAAACATTCCTGCAGGGATCACTGGCATTCCTTCACAAATTTAATACATTCCGCCTCTCAACTGGGTTTCACTTTCTCATCAAATTCATGTTTATTCCAAGTTCAAATGAGTTTTTTTTCTTTTCATTTGATCACATATTATACAATAATTGAAACTGTAAAACAAAAACAAACTTAACAGTTTAATTAACTTTATGTATATATTTACATCACATGTTAAAGATGCTTCAGTGAGACATTTTGCTCTGTTTTTTTTTTAATGTACACATGATATTGAATGTTAATTATCATAATCACTGGTAGCAAAATAATGCAAAACATAACTAAAGGTCACATTTATTTAGTATGACTAAAAAAAAATCTTTATGTTGTTATGTAGAACAAAACTGCATTGTCATAAGTAGAGAATGCAAAAAAATATATATACATTATAATAAAGGATAGGCAGAAATGTTCAGTTCAAAATAATAGCTGTTTTATTTCATTGGTTGCATCAATAATATACCTGGCATATCACAGTTACAACAGGGTATAGTAATTCTCAAAATGATCATTTGAATAGTTGCCATGGCAGTTGCTTTTCTTTATTCATTGTTTTATTTCAAAATAAGCCTTGTTTCCTTCTCATAAAACTATAGAAGACATACTTCCCCACTGTGATATGAAAATGAACCAGATTTTACAGTAAAGGGAGGCTATCAATTTATGACTTTCCAATTTCAATGATGATTAGATTTATTAATAAAATAAAATGTAACAGAATAATTTATTTACCTAACAGGCTTACAGGGTTTTCATTTATTAGCTTTAATATATTTACCAAAGAAGACTGAATGTGGACTCAGACAATTCTCCAATATTATTCTGTATCCTTGTATGGGACAGCTAGATTTTTGTCCAATACCCCATACTGTGACAGAAGTAAAGGTAGAAGGAAATATTTCTTAGGAGAGGAAAAAAAAGATAAAAAAGTCCTGAGATGATGAAAGATAAGTTCTTAGCCCAGCCCGAGGCTAATAAATACCAAAGGACTGTTCCTATTGGACAGAGAGGACAGTGTTGGGGATGATAAATAATTAACATATGACATCTGTGGATATTATCAGGCTGGTGTTCTTCCTCTATATCCATAGCACATGTGGGACATTTGGCTATGTTTGATTGATTGGGGCAGGTTCATGTTTGTTTGATTGACAAACGCGCAATGTAACTATTTGTCACAGGAACAGTTCTGGATTATTATTCACCAACTTTATCATAAATTGACTCTTGGCACTATACTAAATGTTTTTTTCTCCAAGAAAATTGTAAACTAGTTAATTAGCAATTTTACACAAATTAAATGAAGTTAATAAAGAAAATAAGGAAGTTTTTGAGCTCCTAAAGACATTACACTGGAAAGAAAAAAAGAGAAGAGAATTAAGCAAGGGAGCTTATCATAATTAGGTACAGATAATGATTGATGTCTTTAAAGAATAAACATAACCTGTAGTTTATCAGGGGATACCTGGCTTTAGACAAGTTTATGTGCTTCTGAACTTTTTTCTTCTTTGGAAAATATACCTTCACCAAATGCCTGAGAAAACTGTTTCCATGGATGCTATATCATGTAAAAAGGTAAAGTCACATTCATTCTCATTTGTAATACATTTTTGAGTGTTTTTATTTTGATAAACATATTAAGTTGAAAACTTTGAGATTGATTATTTATAAATTGTTATATATAAAGTTTGTGTTTATTTCAAAGGAGTTTTTTTTATGCCACTAACTGTACAATATGGCTTTTCAGTCCAAACTTATGTGAATTTTTTTCTTGTGAACACCTTAGATAATAAAATAATAATTTGGTTTTTAACAATAACTTTATAAATAGATTGTTGCTGCACATCAATTTGAACTTTGGATAAGATACAAATATTTGTAACATTTGCTGTTGTTTGAAATGAATTTTGGATTATTAGTTTGTTAAGTTTTGTCGTGATATACCTATTCTACATTTTGGCAAGTGTTTGTGCTTCACTACAGTTGAATATTGAGGGGCGAGGGTAAATTGATTATTATAATTGCTTAACAGTTTTGAAGATGGGAGAAGCCATGTAGCTGAATGCCTGATCTGACAGGCAAAATTACTTGTAACAACTCTCCAATATCATTGGTTCATGAACAAGGGTTAGGGGTCATTAAAAACTGCTCATGTCTTGTGTGTTTTTTTTCTTTGAAAAAATGAATGTACTTGAGCACTTGTTTGTTGTTTTTATTTACTTTGTAAGCTGAAAGTTTGGTGAAATTTTAATGGAAAGAAAGTGGTTTTGTTATTTGAAATTCTGAAAAATTACAGATATGGATTTTATAAAGAAATAAAGTTTAAGAATCTGTAACACCTATGTATAAGATTTCTCTTTTTTTACCTATTTATATCTAAACTTTTACCAAAAATGAAATAGAAAAGACTGGTAATTATTAAAGCTAAATTACATTGTCATTTTTAAAACAAAATGTAAGGAATATTTGTTAAAATTGAACAGAAAAAAAGATTGTTTATATATTCAACAAAAACATTATGGAAATGTTTTAAAAGCTTGAAATCTGGTTCTGGTTACAGCTTGAATCTTAATGAGAACAGCTGATCTTATATTGAAGACAATTGGGGAGTGAAACATTCAGAAATTATAACATCTTTTGATGCTTACAGTTCAAACAACTTTAATATAACAGCTTTTCCTTCAAAAGTGCTATAAAAATTTACGATTTTCAGTTGGAATAAAAGCCCAATGGCTTATCATACGACTGCCTTTTTTCAACATTTTTCTCTCTGACGGAGATAAAATATTAATTATTGTATTGAAGAAGATGATACCTCATGATTTAATGTGGACTTTATGATTACTTTAAAGCAATTATGTGATTGTTATAATAATCTAACTTTGACATCAGCAAAGATATTGAGTAACTTGAAATTAGAAGAAAAGAAATTTTTGAAATAGAAATAATGGTCGAAACTGGATCAGCACAGGGCTCCATACATGAACTTGCAAAAAGCGAGAGATATCGACGAGTGTTGCAATACATTTCATCAACACCACCTCGCCTATTTTTTCAGGCCATACGATGTACAACACCAAGCTGTCTTTGTGAGTGTTTCCTGCCATCCAAGGGCTGTCTACGTACGTGTGAATCATGCAAGCATGGCTGGGTTGCCCATGGTAAGTTTAATATATTATTTCTAGTCTTTCCAAAAAGTATTCTCATGAGATAGGGAGTTAGGACTATCCCTGAAAACCTATTTATGTTTTTAAAAATATTCCTTTACTACTTAGATAAAGTGTGGGTTGTTAGAACTTTAGATTTATACTATACTTAATTATTTACCTTCTTGTCTAATTCATATGAACTTTACATTTTTACATTGAAACATTACTTTTTGTCCATAGAAATACTGCTGTTGATATTTCAAATAAATATTAAAATCTTTTATTAAATAGGATTTGAATGACAGAATACAAGGAGGGAGCTAATAAATTATCAGATGAAAAATAAGAAATTTATATTGATATCTATATCTGAGTCATTAAATTTTCAGATGGTGACAGTATTTGAATGCCCTTAATACTAAATGCTTAGAATGTAAATACAGGCATTAAAAATTTCTTTTTGACATAAAATAAAATATAAATAATAATATGCCATTTTTTTCATGAATTGTATGGAAGATGATCAGGTATTTTATTAAATAAGGTATAATTAATCATTATTAATATATATATATATTACTATATACAAGTAGATATAAACTATTTGTTGCTACACTTAATTTCTTTTTAATTATTATTCTTCCAGTAAACCTATAAAGTCCCTGTATGGCTTGTTTAATAATATTTAAGTTTATTATATATAGTGAATAAGAAATAAGTTCTGTTGAATTTGTAATTTCAAAACATTAATATTTTGATGTATTTGATTTCTCCATACTAATATTACAGAGAAAGTAAGTTTAAACTTAGTCAACAAAAGTTGCTGCAAGGAGCCTGAAAAAAGTGAAATTTCATGAGAAACTACATACCTATATCATCGATTAATTCTTATTACAGTAATAATTTTTCATAGCAATGTACAAAATACTTATTATATTGAAGTAAAAAAAGTTGCAAAAACTGCATTCCAGATGTGATGGTGTCACTTTATCAGTATGATCAAGTTTACCATTAAACCCCCACAGTGGCTAATATTAACAGTAATACAACACTGGCTGTGTAAACTGTTGCTTGTCAACACAAAATTGACACCATACCAACTAACTATTTACCAACCAGTCCTTTATCTGATCAGCAAATAAACAACTGGTTGATTATGATAGCCGAAAATACATGATTACATACTTAGGTTAACATGGATTATTCCTTTTTGCTTAAAAATATTGCACATATATATGTATAATAAGTAGATGATATAAGCTGGCCTCATGGGGTCTGTACTATCAGTGTCTGAAAGGGCCCTCATTAAGCCTAGGGCTTACCCTCTTCTACTTACACAAGTATATTTTACTTCCTGTTTACAATAATATTTTTGTCCAATAAGTTGTTGTGTTTTTTTTTTAATTTCTCAAATGTATAGTTCTTAAACAATGCATAAAAATATTAAATGATTTCAAAATATTCGGGATAGTTTGAATTTTGGATTGATAATTCAACTTTTGGTTGAACAGTACTGTAGCCAAGATTTCCAACAAATGTTTTAGTTCAAAAGGAGTTCCATCGAAGTCAAAAATACTAGAAAAATAAATTATGAAATTATGAAATAGATGATCAACTGGGGCTCTGAAAAAACTGGGGGAAAATGTGCAAGAGAAATTTAATCAGAATTTCATCTAAAATTTAAAATTACAATGAGTGAATGATCTGAAATTTTTGCACACAACTTGTTGGTTCAGACCTACATCAAATCTCAAAGCCATTTTTCCGGTAAAAAAAACAACTCAATAGAGTCTTTTTAATTTAGGGATTTGATCGTAAAATATAGACATGAAACTTGTTTCTTAAAATATTAATCAAATTGTCATAAATTAAAATGGTGATATAATGTTAGAAGTTGACATTACTTTTGTATCAACCTGTTTACCTTAGTTTTAATATTTTCTCATTTCCCTTCCGACTGGTCTTATTTGTTTTTCCTACCAAAGCCTTTTACATTCCTGAAGACCTGTTGTGTTTATTACAAAAATGACTGGTTTATTTCTCCTTTTACTGAAGTCATATAAAGTATTCTGCCTTGTTTTGGAAACAAGCCCCAAGAAATTGCCTGATCCACTGTTATAATGGCCGTCTTTAAGATCCTGTAACCATCAGCATTCATCAAAAACCATAATTTCAGAAAAAGCATATTTAGAAAAATAAATGTACCATGTTTTGTCCCGCCCCCAGAAAGAGTCGAGTGTTTTAGTCCTGTCTTATAAAACTTGTTTCTCCGAGAGAGCTATTATGGTGAATTTCTTTATAGTGGCAGGGACATCACGTCATTCTAACATTTATTTATAAACGCCATCCCTACTTAAATGCTTAAGACCCATTTGTGTCCCTATATTTATTAGACAGATCCCGTACATATATGGCGGAGAAAGATATAATTTGGCAGATTTGCCGTGGCTGCACTATAATCTAAGTCAGACAAATGACGCTCAATGACAGTCCTCTAAAATACTCTTGGATCAATATGAAAAACATAGCGGACATTTTTGAGAGGGAAAGTTTGCCGTAATTTGTAGTTTTACATGGATTTTATGGGCTCACCTCGAGTAGGATGGAATACTAAATTCATAAAGGATGTTTTAGGACAATTTAGTTTGTCGCAGAACATCATAAATTGCTGCCATGCTCTCAATTTGTGATGGTACTATGTCAAGATTGAGGGATTCATCATGTTTCATTGCCCTCTTAATATTCTGGCGATGACTGCACATAGAAAGCATCGTAAAAATATTTTCCTTTTGGGACAGACAACAGGGGCTTTGAGACAGTTTGAAATAGTGTAATAAATAAATATAGCCATTACTATAAAGCATGACAAACAAGTTAGTGTCATAGGCCAGAAATGGTACATTTATCTCAATATTGAATTTATTTTTGATGTATGGTTTCATCTTAAATTATAATTATTCTAAATAAGAATACTGAAAACATTTGATAATGATATGATAATCTCACTGTAAATGCAATATTGACAATTATTGGATAGAAACATACAGTAATTATCTAAATGTGAAATAAAAGATTGTGGTTAGACAAATTAATAAGAAATTACTTAGTGAACATAAACAGGTAAAGCTGATTTTTGTGTTACTTATCACCTACCAGTTAAATATGTTTAAACAATAATTTCAGAGATAGATAATTGCACGTTGACCATTCTAATATTTTTTTTTTAAATTATGAATAAAGTTTTTCTTGCCTTGGTTCCAAATTTTAAAGTAAATTTGATGAAATGAAATTATAAGCTAAGTGTATATAATAAAAATAAAATGAATGATTCTTTATAAAGATGAATATTTTAGTGTTATACTTGGAGTCCTTCAATATGACTATAACTTGATGATTGTTTTAAAATATGAAATTATTTACTTCAAAATAGAATGCACAACCCTGCACTAAGGTGCGCAAAATTATGCATCCAGGCCTTTGTAACATTTGACATTTTGTCTTCCACTCCATGTTGGAACAATTAATTGTCAAGAAACATTGTGACAGTCATCCAACACAATTATACCAAGTTGATCACATTACAGCGACAAAGTAAATGACTTTAATTATTCTAACACTCGCTGGTTCAATTAACGGTATCCTCTTAACAATTAATTGTAACGTTAAGTTTATGACAGAAGTTTATTTTGTCCAACTTTACGTTTTCAAAATAGGTAAATCTATAAAAGATGATAAAAAAGACATTTTTCTTTTCAAGCAGTTTCTGTCAAGTGACATTTTACGGAACTGGAAGACTTGTTTTCGGTCTCTAGATAAATATAAAAGATAAAGACTCGATCACAATTGACAAACAATTGCTTCTGTAAATGGGATCTAAACTCACATGGGACAAAAGACATGGTCCAGAAAATAGATTTTCCGCCAAGTTGCACAAAGACAAAATAAAAATCAAACAGTTTTTCCAATTCATAGTAAAAGCTCACTTGAATGGGGAAAAAATAAAATGTTTGCGACACTTGCTATTTTCCCTTGAATCTCGAGAAAAAATCAATCATTGAAGTGTCTGTTGGAATTTATCATTTGTCTCATGGCATAATTCATGTCCGTATTTGGAGAAACACAATTAAAATTGTCAATACTTATGTTCGTGAGTCATATCAATGTCTTGTGATACTGCGACAGTTAAATTAATGTCCGGCATTTCTTCCCCGACCCTAATTTCCTATCACAAATTGTTGCGGATCAATAGTAAAAGATTATTTATCATACCAAGGTGACACATGTTATTTTTGTTCATTTCGGTGATGGGAGATTGCTTTACAAGGGACAGTTTGGATAATACAACTTGAGGAAATTTCATTTGTTCCTCGATTTTATGAGCCGCTGGCATGCAATGTAACAAGAAAAAATTGACTGGGACTGAGTAAACATAGCTGAGATTCTGGTATCAAAGGACATATTTGTCACACAAATAATTCAGCAACATTTTCATGAAAAATGAATATAAATACTTAAATGGTGTCTATGACATTTCTCATCAGCAGTTTTGAAAATATTTATACAAGTATTTAGCTAGTTTCCTCAAAATGACAGCTATGAAAATGTTTTGTTTTGATTTTTTTATTACATTTAGAAATTAACAATAGATTTTGAGACATTGGTGAAGAAAATATCAGATCTTTTTGAAATTTTGACATGATATTGGTGCAGTATTTATAATTATAGTATAATCGGGGAATGCAATGTAAGGTAAAAGACATTGTGGTCAAACTGTGACTGTAAAGTTAGATATTTACAGTCACTTGACTATTGGCATTTGGAGACCAATGATAGATGCGTTGACCAAACGATGACGGCTGGATCATCAATTTCTTAGACTTGCCGTCCAATTATATTTGTCTTGTACCGTCAATGTACTGTGCCAACATCATAAAATGATCCGTCATCACTGTTATAAAGTAGAAGACGGAACTTAATCGTCATTTTTGTTTACACTTGGCTGATCACGGTGC